AGAAGAGAAGAAGAAGAAGAAGAAGAAGAAGAAGAAGAAGGAGGAGGAGGAGGAGGAGGAGGAGAAGAAGAAGAAGAAGAAGAAGAAGAAGAAGAAGAAGAAAAAGAGGAGGAAGAAATATTATTGATCTAAAATTTCCGTTTTTTTCAGACATTAATGATCTAATATTCCCATTTACCGAGACATCGATGATCTAATATTCCCATTTACCGAGACAATAATGATCTATGATTCTCATTTACTGAGACATTAAGAATCTTATATTCCCATTTACCGATACATTAATGATCTAATATTCCCATTTACCGAGACAATAATGATCTATGATTCTCATTTACTGAGACATTAAGGATCTTATATTCCCATTTACCGATACATTAAAGATCTAATATTCCCATTTACCGAGACAATAATGATCTGATATTCTCATTTACTGAGAGATTAATGATCTAATATTCCCATTTACCGAGACAATAATGATCTGATATTCTCATTTACTGAGACATTATTGATCTAATGTTTCCATTTCTAAAGACATTAGTGATGTAACATTTTAAATTGCCAAGACATGAATATTCATGTTTTCCTGTTATCGTGACCTCTGCCTTGTAAACGACTCTAGGGTCAGCCTGCTGCCACCAGTTGATGGCCAGTCAGAGAGAAGGATTAGCTACGATGGAACCATAGTTTACGAGCAGCCAATCAAAGAGAAGCCCTTAACAGACAAGACAAAATCCACCCAAGAGTCTTCAAGTTTTAAGGAGCTTGTCAAAGGTCAGTGAAAAATTTGCGTATATTGCTCCATGATTTATGAGTTAAATTATCTTCACAGCACTCCGGACACATCTATAGGCGCTCAGATTCCCTCTCAACATATTTATCAGCGTCGCGAGGGTAATAGTGCCAGTCCTATGTTGGTTAACAAGACTTTCTGTGTGTCCAGTGTGCTTCTCATGCCTGTGTCAGCGATCTAATTTACTCTAATCATTTTATATGACTCGTTGTATACGCCAGCTAACAAACTTCACTACCCTGGACACACTTAAGACACGCGCCTGCTGAGTACAAACATAATCTTCAATGTACAATGAACAATACGACTATAGACACCTCAACTAAGTAGGTAGTTCTCATCCAAAACGATGGCGTTTGAGCAGCTTTTACATTCACTGGTCAACCCAAGTCATTCCCATGGATTATTGAGAGCACGACTCCTTACTAACAGTTTATCAGTGCTAACTAAGCCGCCGTCTATTGCCACACGTGACTCAGCGATACACGTAAGGTGTATGGCCTAAGCGTGACTGAGCAGTGTTACCGCCATTAACAATGTCACACCTTCACTAGCTGCTCAACCAAATACTGCAGGGAATGTCTACTATACAAGGAACATTAACTCTACACTATCTAGTCGAAACATTAAATGAAAACACAGCCTAACAAAGAAACTAAACACAAAAATCCTATTCAACTAACCGTCACTAACCTAATATAATTTTACCTAGTCGAAGCACTACGTCTTGTCTTGTCCAGTCCCACTACACAACTCTCCCCGAGTCCAGCTCTCCCAAAGCTTTTTGTTGGGGCCTGCGCTCACCACTCGACACGCGGTAATCCGTGTCAACTGTGTGAACTGGGCTTGGCCCATTAACTCGACCCAGTTTATTCCGTGGTCAAACTGCCCGTTCTCATACTGAGTTTTACTGAAGGTCAACTCATTCATACGTGATGATTCACTATCATCACCTTCCGTTCGTCCCATAGCCGAACTGGCCTCTGACACCTGGCTGTGGCGATCTTTACTCCCAACTCTCGCAATCTTAGCAGTGATGTGGACACGTTGCTTCCAAAATCCTCAGAGTGTTCTATCTTTCTAAGGGCAATGATAATGTCTGTGTGATCCATGGGCCGGCCAACTTCAAATAATTCAGGACCTGTCAGTCTATCAGCTCTTTCATTACCAACAACGCCTGCATTCCGGGGGACGAATATAAAGGTAACTGCACACACAGGAGAGTTTCGCAGGGACTCAAACCACTTTCTGCGTAACCAGCCTGCCTCGACCCGCCAGGGCATATATTGTTTTGTTCTATGTTACATAATTAGGAGTGGTATCAATCTTATATATCTTTATGATAACGTAGCTGACCACTAGACGACCAACCTTACAGCATGCTTATTGATTCGTACACCTGAATATCCTAGACAACAAATCCCCGAAATGTCCCTGATTAGGATCGTATTAACCGAAGCAAGCCACTCTACGCTTAGGACGCCAGTTCGTATCTTCCAAAGCCTGCTTTGTAAATCTGTTACAATGATCACATGTTCGGCTATGCTGCTCTCCAGTCATCGGAAAGCTGCCGTTACCGCCTCCACCTCCATTCTCATTGGGGATTTTGTGACTTTGTACGCTAGGTTCTCTGTTTTCAAACAGTGTCCATCAACCTTTGGAATAAAAAAAAAAAACCCAGCCACTCATTTTACCTCTCACTACAGACCTATCTGTGTATGTAGCGATGTCTCCTATGTGTGCATTTAATCAGCTCTTTAACCGACGCCATGTTTTCACCAGCACTACCTATTTAATTACCAACGCCATATTACATGCAGTATAAGCAGAAGAATGGTATCATTGCACAAGCAGTCAACACAGATTGTTCACATGCCCCTCATTTAAATTGGAGTATTTTGTTGACAGATTTTCCAAAGGCGTTCGTGAGGATATTCAGACGACCTATCTTCGTCTTCATCATCATAGACATCATCATCATGTCCACAACCATGGCAGGAACTGGTATCTTCAGAAGCGTCTACATCAACTATGAGTACAATGTTGATATCGCTGAGGTAGCCCTGATGCAAGGTAGGCCAATCATACGTCAGGTCTTAGTAGCTAAGCCAGAGATGAAGTTAGTTGTATTTTTTCTCTTCTTCTTCTTCTCTTCTTCTTCTTCTTCTTCTTCTTCTTCTTCTTCTTCTTCTTCTTCTTCTTCTTCTTCTTCTTCTTCTTCTTCTTCTTCTTCTTCTTCTTCTTCTTCTTCTTCTTCTTCTTCTTCTTCTTCTTCTTCTTCTTCTTCTTCTTCTTCTTCTTCTTCTTCTTCTTCTTCTTCTTCTCTTCTTCTTCTTCTTCTTCTTCTTCTTCTTCTTCTTCTTCTTCTTCTTCTTCTTCTTCTTCTTCTTCTTCTTCTTCTTCTTCTTCTTCTTCTTCTTCTTCTTCTTCTTCTTCTTCTTCTTCTTCTTCTTTTTATTCTTCTTCTGCTTCTTCTTCTTCTCCTCCTCCTTCTTCTTTTTTTTCCAGCTACCTCATGGTGGTAGTGTTGGAATAGGAGTGCTGTGCGGATCGTCAGTGGAAAAATTGTGTATATGCTTTCTTTAATATAATCTGCCCCCTTTACCATTCAAGCTTACTATATTGGCCGTTGTTAAACAGTGGAGATATATTGGACACACTCTGCGACGAAATGAGCAAAGAATTACCCAAAAAATCACTGAAATGAGAAACAAAAGGTCAGCGAAAAAAGAGGAAGCTTGAGGGAAATATTAAGAAGAACTATATTACGCAGGGCTAGAATTGCTGGACTGTACTCCTGATCACACATCGGCAAAGCTGCGATGTGGAGTAATCGAATACCAGCCGTATGTGACGTCTAACGGCAAGCAAAAGATGATAATGACTATAACCACTGAGAATCTAATTCAACGGCTAAGTATAACTGGATTCTCTTTCAAGATAGTGACATCAGAAAACATCAAACTGCTTTCCAATTCTTCTTCTCCTTCTGCTTCTCTTCCACCCTTTACCTCATCGAAGTGTTGGAAGGAGATGTAATGTTCGTTGATGAGCTCTGTCAAAAGCACTATTAGGACTGATGTTCATTTATGTAGGGCTGTTCTTAATGCCATTACTCCATATTTTCCGAGGTCTTCCACTTGCTCCAAACCCGTTGTAACATTTTAGTGTGGCTCGCTGTGGTGAACAGTACGAGGGCATTCTTGTTAGGTGTCCAAACCACTTCATTTGTTTTTCTTTGATGACCCGTAAGACTGGCTTTCTAATTGCTTGTACAATATCAGTGCTCGATATATGTCCTACATTTCAAATCACCTCTTCTTACTGAGAAGGAGAATACATTTCACTGAATAGAAGCCATTTTAAAGAAATATTGTTAAAAATCGAAACAAATGGGGGAAAAATGTCTACGATTAATCCTTACAAGAAGAGATATGATCCGAAACGAAGATTTCTTGAAATAATTGAGAAGGAACCACTGCTGAACAATATCAAGAGACTTAGAAAACAAAGAGACAGCGGGAAAGCCCGCTCTTACCACCCTCGAAAAAATTGGACTGTCCTGTGACGTCATCTGTGGTGAAATATTGGGAAAGAACCGTCATGTCTATCCACAACCTTCTGTCTACTGTACTTTCAATCAGCTCTGACACAAATGATTCTCCTTGCCATGAGGTCAAACTATACAGCACCTGTTCTCTCCGTCTCCCTCTGCATCTCCTCCCCTCCAACTGACCTACTGTCACGATGTACTCTAGTTTTGTCCTTTTCATCACAAGACCAAAGAATGTAGATTGTCTCTTTTCTTATGTGGACAGTCAGTTCTCTTCGTGAGTCAGTTTCTTTCAAGATGTCTTCCTTGCTCTTTTTCTCTCTCAAGGGTATTCTCATCATATCAATCGTCCATAAAACCACCACATCTCCGCAGCTTTTAAATAAGTGTTCACTTATTTATTAACTGTCTATGGTTCACTTCTATGTGTCAGTAGAGGATTTATATAGCTTTTTTTTTTCTCTTTCTCGTCTCAGTTGACAAAGATAGTATAAAATATTCTTCATTTTGTAAAATGCTGCCTTTGCTTGAGCTATTCGACAAGCAACTTCCCTAATACATCTTCCATCTGATGTGATTAGGGTACCCAAGTACTTAAATATATCAAGATATTTTTGGACTACTATTTATAATTTATTCTTCCTCATACACAAGGTCTGACGCAAGCAGGTGGTCAGATCCTGGGCACACTGGTCAGCGGCTGGCTAGCCAACAGAGTCAGCACCAAAATGGGATACAACAACATCGTGATGGGCACCCACCTTCTCTCCATGGTCATCACTCCCCTCTACATCATCTTTGGCTGCAGCAACCAGCCCATTTACGGACACGAGGGAAGGAAGTAAGTCTTTTTCTTCTTCTTGTTTTCTCTGCTTCTGGAACGCGTTCTTGCGTCATGGCAGAAAGCGATCGCTGGAATGGGCCCTTCTGTTAGCTTCGAATAAAGTACTTTTCAGTGACTCTGATAATTCAAATCTAGCTTGAAAACCTTCGAATGTGTCATGTGCAAAGACGGTAGGATTACGCCATGTCTCCGTGTTTTGTCTGTATCCTCCAGGTGTGGAGGGTAGAAACTGATGTATTTCAATATGGCTTGCCTGTCTTCTAGCTATAATCTTTTCCAATGTTTTGCCTAGTGTGTTCTGCATAGTAAAGATTCTATCTTTAGCTATGTATGTACGTGGTATCTTTGCCAGGTTTTTTCTAGCAGAATCAAAAAGCTATGCCGCCGGATTTCTGAGATGGTACCATTAGAGATGCTGTCATTGTAGGCTTTACATAGGACCTATATGGATGTAGTGGGCAGCTTGGCAATGTTTTCATAATGAATGCCATCAGGGCCAGGAGCAGACTTTTTTGATGTTTTATACAACAGATCATGTAAATCAATGGATCAACAACGGTCTTGTCCTCAACTAGACTAATAATACAACAGATCATGTAAATCAATAGATCAACAACGGTCTTGTCCTCAACTAGACTAATAATACAACAGATCATGTAAATCAATAGATCAACAACGGTCTTGTCCTCAACTAGACTAATAATACAACAGATCATGTAAATCAATGTATCAACAACGGTCTTGTCCTCAACTAGACTAATAATACAACAGATCATGTAAATCAATGTATCAACAACGGTCTTGTCCTCAACTAGACTAATAATACAACAGATCATGTATATCAATGGATCAACAACGGTCTTGTCCTCAACTAGACTAATAATACAGCAGATCATGTAAATCAATGGATCAACAACGGACTTGTCCTCAACTAGACTAATAATACAACAGGTCATGTAAATCAATAGATCAACAACGGACTTGTCCTCCACTAGACTAATAATACAACAGATCATGTAAATCAATAGATCAACAACGGTCTTGTCCTCAACTAGACTAATAATACAACAGATCATGTAAATCAATAGATCAACAACGGTCTTGTCCTCAACTAGACTAATAATACAACAGATCATGTAAATCAATGGATCAACAACGGTCTTGTCCTCAACTAGACTAATAATACAACAGATCATGTAAATCAATGGATCAACAACGGTCTTGTCCTCAACTAGACTAATAATACAACAGATCATGTAAATCAATAGATCAACAACGGTCTTGTCCTCAACTAGACAAAAATACAACAGATCATGTATATCAATAGATAAAAAAATTGTCTTGACTTCATCTGGACTATTTATACAGTAGATCATGTAAATCAATGGCAAATAGTTGATCCATTGATTTACATGATCTGTTATATAAGTAGTAAGTAATCTAGTTGAAGTCAAGATATTTGTTGATCCATTGATTTACACGATATGTTGTATAAGTAGTCTAGTTGAAGTCAAGATATTTGTTGATCTATTGTATTACAGTATTACATGATCTGTTGTATTAGTAGTCTATTTGAGGACGAGACCTTTGTTGATTCGTATGATTCTTTTTTTGTTTGTGTACAAAAAATGTATTTCAAGCCAAGGAATAACCTCGAGAACGTGGTGGCCACTAGTAGAATTGACACAAAAGTGTCCGCGAGTGGGTTCCGGGGCCCTATGGTGGGGGCAAAACAAGAATAGACCCATTAAACGGATTTACACGCAAACGCAGGCCCTGGGACAAAGCCAAAATCCGATTGGACGAACTACTAGGACTTTCCACTATAGTTAACAGCCGGTGAACAAAAAGGAATAAGAAGAAGATAGAAAGAGGACAGGGGGAAGGCAAAGAGATTAAAGACCTTGTTTGTCTGGCTACAGGCATGGGACGGGACAAGAGCACTACCTGATGCGTGATTCAGCTGATCGTGAAGGATTGCAAAAGCGACCGCCTATGCTTCTTTTCCCTCGACGTGGCACATGATGATGATGGTGGTGGTGGTGGTAGTATTTCCAGACAAACAAACAAACAAAAAAATGTTGGAGCGCATAGTGATGTTTTTCAATGAAAATTAGGCTGTGGACAACATAAATTTGGGAAGGTACTGGCTGGATCATGTAAGTAAAGAAAAGTAAATAAAGTAAAGATCCCTGTCCACGCCTGTAGGCGTATCGGGCATATGGGAAGAGCTGCCATATTTTTACAGACCATCAGCGCTCGGCGGGTAATGTGGTCAGCATTACGCCAGCTGTCTTTACTTTTCCAGGACAGCCTCTCTTGGTAAACATTTTAGGCTGGGTCGACCTGCGACGCCCAGTAACCTGATAAAAATCCACGCAGCCAGCGGTGGCTTTCGATCGCGGTACGCTAAATTACGAGTCGGACTCGCAACACCTAAGCCACGGACGCCGCACGGCTGGATCATGTAGTCACCAGTATTTATGCCGACTCTAAATGAAGTATTTTCCTATAGAAATCTATAAGGCTGGTCTGTCACATGGGGTATTTGACTCTAGGACAAAAGAAGCAGAAGATCACTGCACTAGCTACTGAACCTAGACAACGTCTTGCCCCCCCCCCCCCCTTACTTTTATACCATACAATTACCATGTGTTTGTGTATTGTTTTTGGTTTGCTGTTTTTGTTCTAGTTCTTTTGTTATTATTTTTAATTTCTTTTTTTTTTGGTTCATTTTGTTCTTTTTGGTTTAATTCTTATTATCCTTGTTCTTCATGTTCCTGGTTTTTCTTTCTTTCTGCGTCTACTACTTGTTCTCTTCTTCCCACCCTTCTCTTGTTTAACCTCCCCATCCATTGACTAAATTCGCTTATTACATTGAGAAACAGTTAAGTAAGTTCCTGTGAGTCAGAGACTTTTTTCGTGTGTCTACAGCGGGATACAGCTGAACATGACAGACACCTGCGAGTGCAGAGGAACCAAAAACCTCATCTCGTGTGGAGATGACGGCCTCAATTATCTATCTCCCTGTTATGCTGGCTGCCAGAGTGTCACGGACAACGTAAGTGTATTCTTCCAACAGTATAACTCTCTGCAGCTACCACACATTGCGGAGTATAATTGTCAAGCCTAACATATCATTCCACAGTTAATGTTCAGCTTATATGGCGGGTATACAGTTATAGGTCTGAGTTAGAGCTGAAAATCTTAAGATCTACTTTTACGACACAATTTAAGTCTATAATATGGTAGCTCCGGTAGCGCAGTGGCTAGATACCTACCTGCTGGTGCCTAGGTCTTGGATTCAAATCCACATAGAGCAAACGTTTTATTATTGACTTGTGTTCCTAAATCATCTGCCAAGTTCCAAGTTTATTCGTTAAAAAAAAAGTTATAGTCTCCCTAACCAGCTTCTATAAGTGAGCGGTGGTTATGTTGGGGGTGCATTTCTTTGCTTGGGTTTTCCAATTTGTTTTTTTTTTTTTTTTTCAATTTGCGACGTATCCTCGTACTCCTCTGAGTTTTCTTCGATTTGATAGCTGGATGTCGGGGTGTGGGTCTTTGCCTGCCGTGACAAAGGCAGGCCATTTGCCTGGGACGGCACTCGAGCGTGTATGGGCGGGGGGTGAATCGGGTGGTACAACATGCCTGGCTGGTCTCAGGCTGTCGATTTTCTTTGGGCCGGTGAACTGGTTTGGTGGGTAATCTGCCCTTGACCAACCATTGATCCCGATTTTTAAATGTTTACAACACATGACACGTGACTGCGACCGCCATCTTTACCGACCGTTAGTCGGAGGATAGCCCAAATATGCTCTAACTATGAAGTGACTACGTAGGACTCTAATGTACAAAATAAATGATACTCATCTGTGTCTCTGGGGAAAAACTTCGTTTAAGACTTCGTTATTTGTAGTGGTTTCAAGACACTGAAGATAACACGCGCTATGTGAACAGTATTGATAGCTTAGAAGCAATGATTTAGTTATCTGAAATTTATATCAAATTTTTAGGGCTGTTTGTAGAAACCCCCTGGTATAGACGACGTTTGTCTATTTGCAGGTGTTCACACAGTGTAGTGGGCTGACTGAGTTCAATAACATGAACCTCACATCGGGACTTTGTGCCACCGATTGCCACGGAAACTTTATTCTCTACGTGGCGCTACACGCGGTGCAAAACACGTTGATGTCTATGTCAACTATTCCCATGAGGCTCTTGATTTTAAGGTAAACAAAAGATCATAAAACATCATAATTATTATCATTTAAAAAACTTTCCCTTCCACGATCGAAGTCTTAGTATTTGTTGTATGCGAAATTTACCGTGATGTTTAAAGGTTAGTGAAGCCAGGGTTTTGAGAAGCATGAGCACACACGGGAATGCGTGTTGTGTTGACAGGCTGTGAATGTAAACATTTAGGGTCAATGGAAGAGAGTGGATCATGAGCACTAAGGAAAAAATTGGGTGGCTTGAAGTTCATGACCAACATGATGGCATCATGGATATTGTGGGATCCGGGTGGGTCGATATTCATAGATGACTGCAAATTTCCCGAGTTGTATTGAAATGGGAAATCCACCTATGTATATCGACCCACATGGATCCCACAAAAGACATGATGTCCTCAAGCTCGTCATATCTTAAGTCCAACTCATGATCCACCACAATAATTCAAACAGTTCACATGAGCTTCACAGAACAAAACATTGCTAAAACCCTCAGACGACACAGTCCATGCATTCACTATAACTAAAGAATTCAATCACACGTCCATATACTTTGACTAAAAGCGACTGACTCAAGTACCACGCCACGTCCAAATACTTTGACTAAAAGCGACTGACTCAAGTACCACGCCACGTCCATATACTTTGACCAAAAACGACTGACTCAAGTACCACGCTCTCCCGCTAAAAGCGGCCAGCTACACGTGGATATCACAACCAACACAACTACCATCATTATTGTCTTTACCATCATAATCATGAGAGCTGTATTGTCTTTGTAAAATAGGCTATGGACCGACAGCAGAGCACTTGGGGTATTCCCATTAATACCCCATGCTCAGCATTCAGTGTGGAGTTCTAAAACTTTAGATGCCAGTTAAAGTCTGATTATACCTTTGTCTTGCTTTTCCTCTGAGGAGTGAGTCTTCAGATTATCTGGTCACTGGTATTGCACCACACTTTCCATTTAATGAATCTGACGATGTATCGTCTGTGCTGCTGTGACGGCAAATTAAGCATTTCTACTATCTGTCAATCTGTTTGATCAACAGATACGATGCTTTCAATTGTGACAAACTTCTTCATATCTTATCTTCTCATATCGTCGCTAAACACAAATTACATGGTCAATATAAGATTACATAATTAACATAACATCATATAGTCAATTTTAAAGCATCTAATGAACATACAGAGGTGTTCAGAAAGTTAGTCCATCATTTCTTTTCGCAAACTATTGGTGGAAAATCTATGAAATTCACTCATAATCTTACTGACTATGTCAATTATACGTCCTAATTTTATACAATATATTCTCTGTTCACTTATATGGTATTGTGTGCTTTATTTTTCATGTGAAAGCATTTCATTTGTGCATTGGTAGAGTGGTGATAATTGCAGTGGCCGGTTGTCGGTTTACGTGTGAGCTGTTGAAATAGATTATGTAATAACCGTATGGGTGTAATCAACTTATTGTGTTTAACTATTGCCATCAATAACATACTGAATTTCTGGTGGCGACTGTTGGATTTTGGCAACTCTAGCAACTGCCATATGCATTTACACCGTGTGAATTTTTCTGAATTGTGTCGGGACTGTTTGTCTAGTTTCTCAAATGAGACAGTAAAAGACATTTTATTGGATTTTCAGTGGCACAGGAACGGAGAAAGTATCGGGAAACCCGACTGTAGTTACAACCTTGAATAAAACTAAGACTAGTATGGCCTCACAGCAACTTGAAACAGCTTCATGTTGTTTCGAGTTGGTGTGAAGCCATATTATATACTCTTTGCCCGTTTCTTTTTTTTTTTTTTTCTGCCCTTTTTCAATAAGTAATTTCTTTACAGCACGAATAAGACCCCTAGGTCTGTCTCTCTACTTTATGAAGTCTTCAGTCATTGAACCAGCGACCAACAGTGCTTTCATCGACAGCACAACTTGCATACTCAGCACACAGAAGTTTATAGATGTTCTCCTAAGCTGTTTTAGCCACAACCAGAAATAGATAAACAAATAATTGTGGAACATTACGTTCTAAACGTCCAATGTGAAATCACACACATTTTAGTCCAGGCTGAAATAGGAGCTCATTTTACTGTTAAAAGCCCTCTTATACATGTCTCAGCTGAATACGATATGGAAGAGCAAAATCAGCGTCGCAGTTAAGGTCAATATTTACAAATCACTGTTATTGTCTATTTTCCTATACGGGTTTGAGAGTTGGACTCTCACTGTGGGAATGGATTGGATGATTCAGGCTTTCGAATGTAAATTCTATAGACGCATTTTACGAATTAGTTATTTCGAATAGAAAACTAACAAACATGTCAGATATAAAATATACAATTTTGCAGGTCATCAGGAGGCTTTCTTGACAGTGGCCAAATGCCACAAGCTAGCTTGATTGGGTCACGCGGTGAGATATGATTCGATTGCAAAGACTGTATGTACTTGGAGGAACACTCAGGGGTAGTGAAAGAAGAGGAGGACAAACAATAACTCGGAATGACAACATCAATAAATTTGACAGGACTAGGTTATGACACACTTATTCATCAGGCAGAAGACAAAGAAAGATGGCGGGTTTTATGTGCTAGTGCTTCCATTGATAAACATCCAAGACCCTAAATGATCAAGGGTTATATTATGTTATTTATACATGGTTTCACACTTGCGACCACCGGCCTGACAGACGAACGTGCTAGCCATCTAGTTACCCCGGCTTTTGGCTATATAGCCTCATATGTTTAAATTACAATTACTTGTTAAATTTTGTGTGTGTCTGCACCAAATTTTGGTAGACCTGCTGGGCTTAATGAAGACCAATTGTTTTATTCGGCGAAAAAATGTACGTCTCTAATAAAAGCTTTCAATATTTGATGTATTAAGACTACTGGACTATCACGGGAGAGACCCGGGTTCAAATCCTAGGTATTTTGTTTTGTTTTTTGTCAGAGGGAAAAATCATTATAAATTGCACAGTCTGTGGCGACTGCACAAATTACGAGACCCTAAATACAGTGCTAAATGCATGCGGTATTGGCAGTTTTGGGCAGTATTGTTGTTGTATAATGAGTATCAAAATATTAGATACTGTATCTTTGTCCTGTATAAGTAATAATCAACAAAACAATTTTGAAACCTCCGTATTTTCAGGATGGTGGACCCCAGAGATCGAAGCTTTGCCATTAGTATCTTCGGATTCTGCAGCTCCATCAGTAAGTGACTCTTTCTAGCCGTCCATGCGACTCAACCTTGTTTTATATGTGAGTTTGGCTGCGTGGTCTCGAGGCATGGCGTCCGCCTCGAGTGCTAGAGGTTCTGGGCTTAATCCCCGGCAAGGGCTAGGATTTTTTTCACGTGGACTTGGACTTCTAGTAATCCCCTTCCAAGTTATCTGTGCATTGTTGCGCACGAAAAAATATCCCTTGGCAGTTGAAAATCTAAAAGAGTAGGACCGGGCAAAATTTGGAGTTAAAAGAACACTACACAAAGTATTGCAGGATCCTCTCCGGTGCTACAGAACTTGTGCACTGTGCTGAGCTTCTTCGGACTCAGACTTGAGTTAGAAGAAAAACGGAGCACTTATGGGTTACTACCCGTGTGCCATGATATTGATCCGTTGTTCAAACCTCAAACCTCATTCTTATATGTAAGTGAATGTTTGTTAGTGTGTGATTGATTCTGGCCGTGTTAGTAAATGAATCTTGTTTTGTTATTTATTGATTCTTTATGTGTAGGTGGCTGGTTAACTGTAACTGGTATTTGCTGTATGTGTCAATGCATTTTTTTTTCTAGAAGATTGATTGTTTATGTGTAAGTGATTGGTCTCGCTGTACATGAGATTGATTGTTTATGTGTAAGTGATTGGTCTCGCTTTACATGAAATTGATTGTTTATGTGTAAGTGATTGGTCTCGCTGTACATGAGATTGATTGTTTATGTGTAAGTGATTGATCTCGATGTACATGAGATTGATTGTTTATGTGTAAGTGATTGGTCTCGCTGTACATGAGATTGATTGTTTATGTGTATGTGATTGGTCTCGCTGTACATGAGATTGATTGTTTATGTGTAAGTGATTGATCTCGCTGTACATGAGATTGATTGTTTATGTGTAAGTGATTGGTCTCGCTGTACATGAGATTGATTGTTTATGTGTAAGTGATTGGTCTCGCTGTACATGAGATTGATTGTTTATGTGTAAGTGATTGATCTCGATGTACATGAGATTGATTGTTTATGTGTAAGTGATTGATCTCGCTGTACATGAGATTGATTGTTTATGTGTAAGTGATTGGTCTCGCTGTACATGAGATTGATTGTTTATGTGTAAGTGATTGGTCTCGCTGTACATGAAATTGATTGTTGTGGTGCAAGAGGTTAATTCTTGCTATGCTAGTGATTGAGTCTTGATGCGTAAGTAGTTAATGCTCTTTGTGCAAACGACTGGTTCCTTACTTATTTGTGTGCGTGCGTATGTGTGGGTGTGTGTGTGTGTGTGTGGGAGGTGCGCGTGTGTGTGGGTGTGTGTAAGTGCATGTGTGTGGGGGTGCGTGTGTATGGGTGTGTGTGTGGAGGGGGTGCATGTGTGTGGGTGCGTGCGCGTGTGTATGTGTGCGTGCGTATGTGTGGGGTGTGTATGTGTGTGTGGGAGGTGCGCGTGTGTGTGGATGTGTGTAAGTGCATGTGTGTGGGGGTGCGTGTGTATGGGTGCGTGTGTGTGGGGTGTGTATGTGTGTGTGGGTGCGTGTGTTTGTGTGCGTATGTGCATGCGTGTGTGTGTGTGTTCTAAACAGTTTCAGTGATGATGTGTAAAAAATTCATTCAAGTTGTGTAGCTGACTGGGTATGGTTGTTTAGTTGTTTGAATTTTGCGCAAAACAATTTTCTCTTGTCGTTTGATTCTTTTATTACTAACGGATTTTTTTTTTTTTTTTTTTTTTGTGCGTTTGATTTTGTGTGAAATGTATTTGTTCCTGCATAGTTCGACGTTATTTT